GTGGTGCTGAGGATCGAACCCGGGCCGCACGCATGCCAGGCGAGCGCGCTACTGCTTGAGCCACATCCCCAGCCCCACCTCTCCAGTTTTATCTTTTCATTATTCTAACATACAAACTCTTTCATCAAGCTAGAGTCAACTATTGCCGTATTCTTTTCTTCCTCTAATCTTTTGTTCATATGGTACCTTCAGTTTGGAATATTCTTCCCTCCACTCTCTGCTTGTCCATATTTGAGCATCTTTAAAGGCCTAGGTCAAATTTTGTTCTTTTCATACAACTCATATTACCACTCTTCTATTGTGGACTCCCCAAAACGTATTGTTTATACTGTAAACAACAACATTTTTTTTTTTGACTCTGGGGTTTAACCCAGGGATAGTCTACAACTGAGCCATATCCCCAGCCTGTTTTTTTTTCCCATTGTTGTTGTTTGTTTGTTTTGACATAGAGTCTCACTAAGTTACTTAGGGCCTCACTGAGGCTAGCCCTTCCGAGGCTGGACTGAACCTTGCAATAGCTTCCCAAGTTGCTGGAATTCCAGGTGTGAGCCATTGTACTGGGGTAAACAACAATCTTGAAACTCTCTGTTTTTTCTTTCTCTTCTTCTTTTCTTCTTCTTCTCCTTCTCCTCCTCCTCCTCCTCCTCCTCCTCCTTCTTCTCTCTCTCTCTGTCTCTCAGACAGGGCCTCACTAAATTGCTGAGACTGGCTTTGAACTTGGGATCTCCCTGCCTCAGCCTCCTGAGCTGAGACTGGCTTTGAACTTGGGATCCTCCTGCCTCAGCCTCCTGAGCTGCTGGGATTACAATCATGCGCCACTGCACCCAGCACAGAATGAAAGTTTTTCATCTAATCCTTCCCTGCATATCTGATGTACTGTAATGCACAAGTAATATATCTTTGTGTGGTAGTTTGTGTAACAATGAAGAATGCAGAACAATTTACTTATATGGAGATTTGTTTATACTGTAGCTCTTCTATAGCCCCATGAGTAATAATATAGATGTATCCAAATGAAATTTTGAAATTTTCAATCCAAATGAAACTGTTTGAAACCATAGGAACTAGACATTCACTTGACCCTCATCTTCCCACCTTCCAGGAAGAAGGCATGGATGTAGTAAACAGAGAAGCAATGCATGAACGGTGAGTACTGTACTTTCAATTACCACTTTAATAATTTGTATATTCAGTTATATCTTTTCCTTCAGATAGGCACTCTATGTACTGATTTCTTTTCTTTTGTAGGGAGGTACACACTGCAATACAGATAAGTCAGTCTTGGGAAGAAAATCTGAAACTGGTATGTTTTACAGTAACACTTTAATTTTGCCCAAACTTTCAAATTTTCTCTATTGTAGTGTTGTACTATCTAGTTTCACTGTAATTTCTGAAAATATCAGCTCTTGTTTGATATTTAAGCAGTATCTTTTCCATAAATAACTTGAATTATCTTAAGAAACAGCTTATGATTTATCCATAAAATAACTATCATTAGGGCTGGAGCTCAGTGGTAGAGTATTTGCCTTGCATGTGTGAGGCACTGGGCTCGATCCTTAGCACCACATAACAATAAATAAATAAAGATATTGTGTCCATCTACACCTAAAAGGAATATTTAAAAAATAACTATCATTATTTGAAAGTGGAGTTCAAAGTACATAGTTGTCTGATATAAAACCATAGCTGTTGTAAACCAGCTTCATCTCTGTCCTAGAGAATCTTTAAAAAGTTCAGTTATGCCTGTAATCCCAGCAGCTCAGGAGGCTGAGACAGGAGGATCGTGAGTTCAAAGCCAGCCTCAGCAAAAAGCAAGACACTAAGCAATTCAGTGAGACCCTGTCTCTAAATAAACAGCCCTAACAAAATAGGGCTGGCAATGTGGCTCAGTGATTGAGGGCCCGAGAGTTCAATCCTCAATTTAAAAAAAAGTTCAGTTTTACTAAAATGCTTAGATTACAAAACGATAAATGATTTTTTACTTCCTTCTACATCATTTACTAACTATATGTCAGTTTTAAGCTATAGGCAATGGATTTATGAAAAAAATATTGCATTTTTATGTCTGTTCAGACATATAATTCTGGTAACATTTTAACATACAACCTTTAATTTAAACATATTCAGGATATAATTATATCCCTTGTTCACATTTTTTAATGTCTCTATACATCATGATTGCTTAGTTATGGTAGTTGGTTGATATTTAGTGTTTTTTTTAATGTGGACATTTCAGATAATGAGATAATAAGAACTGAACTGAAATTTGAGCGGGAGAGATTCTGGTTAATTCCAATTTCCAGATTTTAGAGTTGTTAGATCAGGAAATGGATCATCAACAGAAGACATCTTTTCCTTTGAGCTCTGAGTACCTTAGATGGGCATCTGACTCTGATTTTGGAATAGATTCTGAAGAATGAATAGATAGATACCTTTTGGAGGCTTGTCCCTGTTCACATTTTGTTTCTAATAACAATTTATAGATGTTATTGGAGTCCTTTAGCTGGCCAAATTCTACTTACTTTAAGTTTTGGCATGAGTAAGTGAATAAGAGATTCTCCAAGTATTATAGGAGGAGAAAGGGAATGTGTAATATATAAGTTTAACTCATATTGTGTTTTAGAAAAGTGCCTATTTTAAAACCCTCAATTATGTAGTACTGATTTTGTACACATAAAACTTGTAAACTTTTTTTTAATAGATCCTGCTGTCCCATTTATGTCTTAGTTCTAGCTAAATCTGTTTTGGTCCTTTTCTGGACATAGCATTACAGTTTTTGATAGCAAAGGATAGGTCAAATCCAAGAAGGAAAGCTGAATTTAGATTTTGTGTATATAGTATGTATTTCTTAATATTGAGTACTCATGTTCTAAGTTTTCTGGGGTGCTAAGGAAGCCCCTTAACCACTACAGAGCTCTCTCCTCTAAGAGGCAAAGGGAAGCTTTGCTTATTGAAGTAAACCATAGATTCCCTGCTTGCTTTATCATGATGAGCGCTGTCTACATGAAGTCAGGCTCAGTAGTAAGGGTTCTCTTTCCCATGCAACAGCTATCTCCAGAAGTACTTGATTAGTAAGTAATTGGTGCTACAATTATCCACTGCTTTCTGCTTTCACAGAATGATGATGATCTGGACATACCATCCGCTGTAAAGAGCATTGATCTAATCCCAGTATCCCAAGCAGCTTCTCTCACTAAATGGATTGGGAAGGTAAGAAAGGAGTGCCTTGAAGTCTAAGCTCTTTGAAATACTAGTAGTTACCCAATCAAAAACCTATGAGGGGCCTGGGGATGTGGCTCAAGTGGTAGCACGCTCGCCTGGCATGCGTGCGGCCTGGGTTCGATCCTCAGCACCACATACAAACAAAGATGTTGTGTCCACAATGGAGTATTACTCTGCATTAAGAAACGACAAAATCATAGAATTTGGAGGGAAATGGATGGCATTAGAGCAGATTATGCTAAGTGAA